TGAGGGCGGTGAGGGGTGGAACTACCTACTCATATCTTAGCTCTGATATTAGGACTGCTACATTCTGCCATATCTCTTTGGCATTTACTAAATAACTGGTAACCTTGTTGGCTGAGTTTCTTACTGATGTGTTCCCAGGAGCAATTTTCACGTAGCTTGGACATACACATTGCTTTTTTTATTTTCATTTTTATGCAGCCATTTTCACTTAAGATGTTGCACAGCAGTTAAATAACAACTTCCTCTAAGGTGGATTATCTAGGCTACCAAGGAGGCACATCACCTTCTTCCATTAATGCATTATTTGACATCCTGGTAACAGGTGGTTTCTCTACTTCGTAGTAATTGTGTTGGTAACATGATTTTTGTACACTCAATAGGTTTTACTTAACACTGCAGGCTCATACAGAACTATTAGCAATACCCGGTCTCTTGTCTCGTCCTGCCATCCATAATATGGGAGTACCAGATAAATACCTATCTGGGGGGAAGGAGATTATTTCTTAAATGCTAGCAAATACGGTAGTGTACTTTATACTAAGGCCCTATATGATCAACTAGTCAATAAAAATCTTGTAAAAGCAAGACACAGACCTTTTAAAACAATGTACTATTTAAAAGCAGCAAAAAGAATCCTGCAGATACACCTGTCTACTTTTAAGGTATTTTATTTAGGGGACAAGCAAATGTTGCCTATCTTCATCTCAAAGAAAATTACAAAAAGATCTGTTTTCTACAACTCTCCTGACATACTTGGTTCTTGAAGCTCTGAATTCCTCTGGCTTGTTCTTTCACAGCTGTAAACTCCAGAAATGAAGAATTTAGTATCTCATGTTTTCAATTTACTGTGGGTACATACCTACCCAAAAATCAACATAAAAAGAACATTTGGAACAGGAAAAATGTATTATAGAAAAACAAACATTTTAAGAATACCACTTTCTTGTTCCAGGGTAAAAAATAAACAATGATAATCCTCAAAATAACTGGTAATTATGTTTTCAAGTTACCTCAATTTTTGGCTCCAAAAAAGGAATACCAGAAAACCTACAGGGCTGAATACTTCGTCTGTGTATAAAACTAATTACAGTTAAACATGTAATAAGCTTTAGTTATTCAATTTTTACACAGCCCATTTTGTCCCTCATAGCATTTAACGGTTGTAGTAACACATATATTAGAATCATATGGGCCAGGCACAATGGCTCTCACCTGTAATCCCAGCACTTTGGGAGGACGAGGCAGGCAGATCATGAGGTCAAGAGATCGAGACCATCCTGGCCAACATAGGGAAACGCTGTCTCTCCTAAAAATACAAAAATTATCTGGGCATGGTGGCGCATGCCTGTAGTCCCAGCTACCAGGGAGGTTGAGGCAAAAGAATTGCTTAAACCCAGGAGGCAGAGGTTGCAGTGAGCCGAGGTCGCGCCACTGCACTCCAGCCTGGCGACGGAGCGAGACTCTGTCTCAAAAAAAAAAAATATATATATATGTATATATATGGATTTTAAATATTCTTAATAACCTACCATTTCCAAACTCAAAATTTTTTCCTCTTGTTTGGCAGCAAACCCTGTTATCAGGAAGCACCCAAATATTAGTTGCGTGCTCTTTACTAAAACAAGCAGCAAAAAGTTCTCTCTCTTTTTTTTTTTGTGATGGAGTTTCACTGTTGTTACCCAGACTGGAGTGCAATGGCACGATCTCAGCTCACTGCAACCTCCGTCTTCTGGGTTCAAGCAATTCTCCTGCCTCAGCCTCCCGAGTAGCTGGAACTACAGGCGCGCACCACCATGCCCAGCTAATTTTTGTATGTTTAGTAGAGACGAGGTTTCACCTTGTTGACCAGGATGGTCTCGATCTCTTGACCTCGTGATCCACCCGCCTCGGCCTCCCAAAAGTTCTCTCTTTTAAAAGGGTTCAATATTCAGGTGGCCCTTTCCCAACAAAAGTATCTACTGTGATGGAAAGCTTTTCTTCAATGACAGTTGTGTGTTGTCTAAATTCCAATTCTATGCTCTCAATTTCTTTTAACTCTGCTAAAACCTAGCAATAGGTTAGTGTCTCCCTTCTGCTCTCCTTTCCTTGGTTACATATAAAAATGTTTTTCAGCCAGACACAGTGTCTCACGCCTGCAATCCCAACACTTTGGGAGGCCGAGGTGGGTGGATCAAGAGGTTAGAAGTTCAAGACCAGCCTGACCAACATGGTGAAACCCTGTCTCTAAAAAAATACAAAAATTATCTAGGTGTGGTGGCATAATCTCAGCTACTCAGGAGGCTGAAGCAGGAGAATCCCTTGAACCTGGGAGGCGGAGGGTGCAGTGAGCCAAGATTGCCACCACTGTACTCCAGCCTGGGCAACAGAGCAAGACTATATCACACACACACACACACACACACACACACAAAATATATGTGTGTGTGTATGTGTATAAATATATATGTGTGTGTATATATATATATTAATATACATATGTTTTCAGCCAAGAGCGGTGGCTGACACCTGTAATCCCAGCACTTTGGGGGGCCAAGGCACGTGGATTACCTGAGGTCTGGAGTTCAAGATGAGACCGACCAACATGGTAAAACCCCGTCTCTATTAAAAATACAAAAATTAGCCAGGCATGGTGGCACACGCCTGTAATCTCAGCTAACTGAGAGGCTGAGGCAGGAGAATTGCTTGAACCTGAGAGGCAGAGGTTGCAGTGAGCTGAGATCACATCACTGTACTCCAGCCTGGATGACAGTGAGACTCCACCCAAAAAAAAAAAAAAAAATATATATATATATATATATGTATGGATATAGCTTAATATTATATAAAGAATACCAAAGAATCTATCAAAGTGTTACCATATTTATATCACGACAAAGGCATCCACCAGCTCTAGGGTTTGTAAACAACCAGCTCTAAAATTTGTGATTTACAGATACGGTCAAAACACCGGTTTAGAGAGAACTTCCTCAAGGCTACAGTTAGTAAATATACCAGTTAGGATTGAAATTAAGCTTTTTTGTTTTGTATTGTTTCGTTTTAGGATGGAGTTTCACCATGATGGCCAGGCTGGTCTTAAACTCCTGACCTCAGGTGATCCACCCACCTTGGCCTCCCAAAGTGCTAGGATTACAGGCGTGAGCCACAGCGCCCGGCCTGAAAGTAAGCTTTTTTTGCTCTAGAACTCTTCCCCAAGTCACTGCCTCTTCCATCAACTTTGACTACTTATAAATTTCCGCAAAATTTCCAAAAAGAGTTAGATTTGAATGATCTAAAGAGTAGAAACATAGGGCTGACAGAATGATTCTCATTTTTTGGACTCTTAAAAGTTATTGAAGACGCCAAAGATCTTTTGTTTACGTGAATTTTATCTTTCCACATTCACCATTCAAAATTTTTAAATTTTAATACTTATCAATGTATTTTAATACAAGCCCCACTACAAGTTAATATAAACATTTTCAACAAAAAATACTTCCCCTCCAAAAAGTGAGAAAAGTAACATTGTTTTGAATCTTTGCAGATCTCTTTTATGTCTAACTTAATAGAAGATGGTTAGATTCTCACTGCTACTTCCGCATTCAGTCTGTTACTATATGTTGTTTTCCTAAAGAATATAATGAAAATCTAGTCAAAAAAGGGAGAGGCATTTTAATAACCTTTTCAGATAACTGTGGATAGTAGTAAATACTAAAACTCAATAAATGGTAGTCTCTTTCTTTTTTTTTTTATTTTAATAAATACAGACAGGGTCTCACTATGTTTACCAGGTTTGACTCAAACTCCTGGGCTCAAATGATCCTTCTACCTCCGCCTTCCAGAGTGCTGGGATTACAGTAGGGAGCCACCCACGCTGGGTCAAATAGTAGTTTCTTAAAGGATAGTAGCATTTCGTAATCGGAAACCATATCAATCTACTTGTTTACTGTTAAAATCCATTGCTGTATCTGGTAATTTTAAAGGATCTTTTACCTTCGCATAATTTTGCAACATCATGCATTAATCATTTGCAAAATACAGGGTTACAGAGTTATGCCCATCTTCCAAATGACACATTTCATTATACAAGATTTTAAAAAATTACAGTCCTTAACCACTGAAAGCATAAGAAAAGTCTTTTAAGTACTAGAAAGCTGTCAAACTCCAGCTGTGAACTTTTTAAACATTCTAATTTTCACCCAAATTTGATCACTGGTAACAAATACTGTCAATTGCTTTCTTAAAAGTGACAAGCTCACTTCATTTTCAAGAAATATCTGCCAAATGCCAAGTGTGAAAAACCAGTGTGCCATTCTTTCAACTAAAAATGCTACTCCATGAAATAAGCCACTCACAACCCAATCTCACAAATGCCTCTCTCGTGACAACAATCACACCTTCATAGGCAGCACAAATGCTTTATCCATGTTTCTTATTTCATCACAAATTCTTAAAGATTGAAAAGACATGCAGTCACAAACTAAGATTTAATAATAGTAGGCCAGGCACGGTAGCTCATACTTGTAATCCCAGCACTTTGGGAGGCCGAGGTGGGTAGATCACCTGAAGCCAAGAGTTAGAGACCAGCCTGGCCAACATGAGGAAACGCCATCTCTACTAAAAACACAACCCGGGCCGGGTGCGGTGGCTCACGCCTGTAATCCCAGCACATTGGGAGGCCGAGGCCAGCGGATCACGAGGTCAGGAGTTTGAGACCAGCCTGACCAATATGGTGAAACCCCCTCTTAAATAAAAAAACAAAAACAAAAAATACAACCTGGTAGGCAGAGGTTGCAGTGAGTGGAGATTGTGCCACTGTATTCCACACCGGGCGATAGAGCAAAACTCCGTCTCAAAAACTCAAAAACAGAATAAAATAAAATAAAAATAATCTTTACTGCTTCAAGGGCATTCTCAACTACGTAGTTTGGTGCCACTGACTTGCTTTGTGCTAAGGTACTACCAAGAGTTTTATCCAGCATTGCTTTTGAACCATCAGTGTGTCTGAAAAAAAATCATCTTACTATCATTTTAAAAATAGTTATGACCTTGAGGCTCCCCTGAAAGCGTACGAGGAGATCACCACGGGTCGTCTGTCCACATTTTGGGAACTGCTTTCCTAGATTATACCACTAGTTCAAGATGGGAGTGGAAACGCTAACGAAATCACATTCGTCCCGAGTCTATTCTGTTACCTCCTTTAGTTTGACATACTCCACCAACGTAGCTCTGGAAAAGGAAAGGAAATCAAGGGCACAGGTGTCTTTTAATTGTTTCAACATTTTGAACACTTTTATGTTAGACCAGTAATTCTCAAAGTAGCGGTTAATCAGCCTCCACTGTACGACTACTCATTTTAAAATACAGAAATGACATTCCCCCCTCTGCCCCATTCAAATATCAAATAAACTTGGGGGATGAGGCCCCTCCAAACTGTACATTTAACAATCTTCAAGGTACTTGCTTTTTTTTTTTTTTTTTTTTTTTTGAGACGGAGTTTCGCTCTTGTTACCCAGGCTGGAGTGCAATGGCGCGATCTCGGCTCACCACAACCTCCGCCTCCTGGGTTCAGGCAATTCTCCCGCCTCAGCCTCCTGAGTAGCTGGGATTCCAGGCACGCGCCACCATGCCCAGCTAATTTTTTGTCTTTTTAGTAGAGACGGGGTTTCGCCATGTTAACCAGAATGGTCTCGATCTCTGGACCTCGTGATCCACCCGCCTCCGCCTCCCAAAGTGCTGGGATTACAGGCTTGAGCCACCACACCCGGCCTCTTCAAGGTACTTTTTATGCACCCCGAACTTGAAAACAATTGTGCTCACAGTTCGAATTCAGAGTTCAAGCTCTCAGACCATGAGCAATGAGGTCTCGAAATTCATCCCTCCCCCGCTGTTTCCCTTTTATCTAGTAGGGTAAACTACTATAGAATTAAAACCCCAGCCAGGCGCAGTGGGTTTTACTTCTGACCTGAGGTCAGAAGTTCGAGACCAGCCCGGCCTACCTGGTGAAACCTGTCTCTACTAAAAACTAGCCGGGCGTGGTGGCACATGCCTGTAATTCCAGATACTTGGGAGGCTCAGGCAGGAGAATCACTTGAACCCGGGAGACGGAGATTGCAGTGGGCAGAGATCCAGCTACTGCACTCCAGCCTGGGCGACAAGAGTGAAACCCCGTTTAAAGAAAAAAAAAAAAGGCAAAACCCCATTTTTGTGGAGCTTTGAGCTCTGGTGATATCTGTCTACGAGCATGGAGGGACCGGCTACCCCCTGCACCAAAACAGCAGCTGCTCTGAGATGATACAACTGTGTCTTAATCTCCATTTGGAAAATGAGACTGGCCACCAAATGACTCTGAGGACTGTTCAGCACTACCTTTTTCTGAGCTAAGAACGTCTAAGAAAGTAAGCCGAGAAACGTTCAGGACTACTAGCAGTTTGAGGGAATCCCACCTCTGGAGAGGAAGGAAATCAGAACAACACGCAGAAAAAGTAAGTGGATCAATGACAGTACTCCTCTGCAAAAGGTGCCAAGAATCTAGAGAAAACAGTCCCCGGGATAAACACGGCGCCCACCGCGGCAGGACATAATCACCAGAAAATAAAGATTCCCCGCCCCATCCCATTTTATAAATCACCGCGCCATCCCCTAAAGAAATTTGGGGGCCCGGGGAGGAGACTTCATAAACTAGGTACAGTGCACTAAGGCTTAGGATGTACTATTAGACCAAGCAGAGATTACCTAACACAAGGGATCCGCTCAGCAATCACTCATTTTCCTCCTCCGGCTCAAAATGAACTTCCCACCCCTCTTGAAGCGGGGCCTGGGCGGGACGGGGCGCGCACCCCCATAGCCAGGGGCCGCTCCGCCGCCCGCCCCCTCTGCCGTGCCGCCGAGTCCCCTCGCCAGACCCTCCCGCAGCGCCCCGCCGTCTCGCCAACACCCGCGCCCCCGCCCCTTCCCTAGCGGGCCGTGGGCCGCTAGCTGCGCCCGCGCGGCCCACTCCACCGAAATGCCTCGCGCCGGGCGTGCGTGTGAACGTCGGGCTGTGAGGGGCCGTGGGGCGCGAGTGCGCCTGGGTGCGCATCACAGCGTGCGCCGGGGGCGGGGCGGGTGGCCTGCCAGCCGGCAGGCAGGGACCTCCGCCGCAGGCCCTTCGCGTGGCTCCCGCGGCCTAGGTCGCACGCACTCACACTCGCGCTCGCGCGTCGCACCCCACGGCCTCTCCTGCCACGGGCCGCGCCGCCGCTGGGGGTTGTCGGGGGCGCGCATCGCCGGCCCCCCCCGCCGCCGCTACCCCCACGCGAACCGGCCCATCCCCCTCTCGTTTTCTGGCCTCGGAATGCTTCCCCGAGAGAAAACATAACGGAACCCCCGGGAGCAGGGGGTGCGGAGAGAGAAGGCGCGCTTGCTCACTCACCTCCCGTGGTCGTCGCCGCAGCGGTCTGACCCGAGGAAGACCCGGTCGCCTTAAAGGGACCTTGCACCCGGCGCCGGGAGAAAGTGCTGGGAGCAAGGGAGGGGACCGTTGAAAGCTCGTCTCCCCAAGGGTGAAAGGAAGCCTTCCACGGGTTCGAGTGATTGGGGTGGATTTCTTTCCCCGAGGCGGGCTCGGGGGGCCAAGGAATGCGACTTCGTGTTCGGGAGCTGGCGCAGAGAAGAGACGCCTTCTCCCCGCCACCCGCGCCCGCGCAGCACTCCCCCCCCAGCCCCTTCCCAGCTGGCCGCGGGCCAGCTAGCTGCGCTCGCACCACCCACTCCCCCGAGACGCCTCGCGCCGGGCGTGCGTGTGAACGTCGGGCCGTGAGGGGCCGTGGGGCGCGAGTGCGCCCGGGTGTGCACCACAGCGGGCGCCGTGGGCGTGGGACCTCCGCCGCCGGCCCTTCGCGTGGCTCCCGCGGCCCCGGTCGCACGCGCACACGCTCGCGCGTCGCACCCCACGGCCGGTCCTGCTGCCTGCGGCGCTGGCGGTGTTCGGGGGAGCGCATCACCGGGACCCCGCCGCCACCACCACCGCGCTCGTACCGGCCCATCCCCCTCTCGTTGTCTGGCCTCGGAAAGCTTCGCCCAGAGAAAACATAACGGAACCCCCGGGAGCAGGGGGTGCGGAGAGAGAAGGCTCGCTTGCTCACTCACCTCCCGTGGTCGTCGCCGCAGCGGTCTGACCCGAGGAAGACCCAGTCGCCTTAAAGGGACCTTGCACCCGGCGCCGGGAGAAGGCGCTGGGAGCAAGGGAGGGGACCGTTGAAAGCTCGTCTCCCCAAGGGTGAAAGGAAGCCTTCCACGGGTTCGAGTGATTGGGGTGGATCCCCCCCAGGCGGGCGTGGGGGGCCAAGGAATGCGGCTCCGCGTTCGGGAGCTGGCGCGGAGAAGAGAGACGCCGACTCTCCCCACGGACCCTCTCGCCCCGCGGAGGGATACGGCTGGTCACTTCCGCCCTCCCCCTTTCACGGCCTCCCAGTTGGTTGGAGCGCGCTACAGGACACGGGCTCGTCCAAACCCCTGCCCGGGCTTCTTTTCTAGTCAAGTTTGGCTGGGCCTGCAAATAAATAAATAAAAACATTTTTTATAATTAAAAAAGAACCATTCGCTTCAGAAGCTCTACCTCACTTTTGGTGAGAAAAATGAGACTCTCCAAGAAAATAATCTCCAATTTACTTGCCTACACTTTCCAGGGAAGTGTTGGGAGGCTCCCCACTTGCCACTCAAGGCTTAGACCCAGTCAAGAGGGGGACTTCATGACACAGGCCAGGTGGTGAGGCCCAGTGGCACCAATGACTCACTGGAACAAAGAATGAAATGGCACTCACTCTTCCTCACGAGAGCTCGGCAAAGTAGCCTTGTGGCTGTGGCCTTATTTAAGTAAAGAACTTTTACCCAGGCTGGAGTGCAATGGAGCGATCTCGGCTCACCGCAACCTCCGCCTCCTGGGTTCAGGCAATTCTCCTGCCTCAGCCTCCTGAGTAGCTGGGATTACAGGCACACGCCACCGTGCCCAGCTCATTTTTTGTCTTTTTAGTAGAGACGGGGTTTCACCACGTTGACGAGGATGGTCTCGATCTCTTGACCTCGTGATCCACCCGCCTCGGCCTCCCAAAGTGCTGGGATTACAGGCGTGAGCCACCGCGCCCGGCCCCATTATTTTCTATCAATGCCCTCTTTGCAGCCACTTCTCTGCCGTGAGAGACTTCACTGCTAGGCAAAATAAAGACAAAACCTTTGCATTAGTTCTTTGGGGAGCCCTCAGATAGGTCAGAACACACAAACATAGTTATTTGAGAAGAAGATTTGCTCTTCTTTCTCTGGAACAAGGAACCCACATTAGGAGCATGGGCTACCCTCTTCAAGATTGCCACCAAGCTAAGGAAGGGATTTTGTTGTGGTAAAGCTTTGACTATTTTTTGGAGTTCTAATCGAGTTAGTCCTGGACATTTGGGGCTAGATTTTCAGGTGTTTATGTCTGAAAGAAAGAGCCCTTGCTGTTTCCCACGTGGCCTCTCTTGCTGATGTCGCTCACTTTCAGTCTATCATTTTGATCATTTTCTAAATAACAGCTTCATTGAAACATAAATTCACATATTACCTAATTCGGCCAATTAAAGTACCCAATTCAGTGTTCTTAGTATTTTCAGAGTTGTTTAATCAACACCACTGTTTCATTTTGGAATATTTTCATCACCACAGAAGGAAACTCCTGAGCCATTAGCAGTTACTCTCTGTTCTCTCCTCACAGTCTCTGGCAACCATTAATCTAATTTCTGTCTCTTTACTTTTGCGTATTCTGAGCATTTCATTCAAATTAAATCTTAGTGACTTGCTTTGTATATATTTATGGCTTCTATTTTGTGTTGCTTCTGTCACTTATTTTTTGATTTTTCACGATTATTTTCTTTTTCACATTTTCTGCTTTTACTCTGCCATGTGTTCTGAATAATTCTTCAGTACTATCTTCCAATACATTAATTATTTTCTACCTGTGTCAAGTATAGAGTTGATCTCATTTTTTGGGTGTTTTAAAATCAATTTACTATATATTTTCTTTCTTGAGTTTCCAGTTATTATGTATACGTGTTTGATTCATAGATATATGTTTTACTTAATTGTGTTTGTTTATGAATTCCCTATTTTATGTCTTAGATCAGAGGTCAACATTTTTATTTTAGGTAAAGGGACAGATAATAAATATACTAGGCTTTGCACACTGTGTGGTCTCTGTTGCAACTATTCAACTCCACCTTTGTAATAGGGATGAAATCACATATACTATGTAAGACATCATGACTGTGCCTCTATAAAATTTTATTAACAGACATGGATATCGGATATTTGAATTTCATAAAATGTTTATTGTTACAAAATATTACTAT